TATGCCAATAAGAATAGCATTACTTACAGTTTTTGAAAAATATTACTAATGACCCCAGGTAGCTCAGACCTGTAGTTCCCTTCCTAGGTCAAGTTTCTCTTTAGGGAATCTCTAGACCAGTGGCTCTCAAATGTCAGTGGTTCATTAGCATCACCTGGAGGGCTTGTTAAAACACAGCTATCTGGGCTTCATCCCCAAAGTGTTTGATTCAGAAGACTTGGGGTGGGGCCCAAGAATTTGTGTTTCTAACAAGTTTCCAGATGCTGCTATTGCTGTTGATCTCAGGACTGCATTTTGAGGACCACTGCTTTATATCACCTGGATTACGGGAACATGACCTTCCATTACATCTGCCACCTCAGGTTGTGGGAGCTGATATTTAGTTTACCCTGTTAGGTAGGGCGCATGTAAGACTGCGCACAGCAAGCTGGTCTGGTTGTGAAAACACAGTATAGAAACTTTGGTGCCTTTAAGAGATTCACGTTTTTCCTTTTTTCTGGCTTTTACTTTAAATTACATTTGTTTAAGCATAAACTCTGTTCCTGATCAACTACGAGTGGCTGATCTCTGGCTATATGAATCCGATAGTCAATACAAAGTTATTTCTGTTTAGATTATGGCAGTTTTGTGTTGTTTAAATGTTTAATTGCAATCTGTTTGCTTGAATGTAAGAAATAACTTTCCTTTTCTTTTTTAAAATTAATTTCTGGTGTATTCTTCCAGTGGTTTTAAAAAAAATTTTTTTTATTAAAGTAGAGTTGCCCTTTTCTTTTTTAATGCAACCCACAGGTGGGTAAATAAACCTGAAGTTTGAGGGAGTGCCTCTGTAATAGTGAAAACCCATTATAACTAGACTGACTGGCTGTGGTACTAAGTACCTGGTAAAACCTGCTTTATACTTCTTCTCTATGGTCTGATAGTAGACATTACTGGATAAACCTTTATGCCTCCAAAAAGATTCATTTGTTCAGACTTATATGTATTGCTCATACACGTATGTATCAGCAAATGAGACAACCTTCTTTTTAGTCTTATCAGGTATAGAGTGAAAGATGGGATGATTTTAAAAGGTCCTTCATTCTATGAAAGGACATTAGTTATTAGTGTGTTTAAAAGGAATGTGACTTGGAGGCCGGCGCCTTTCCAGCTCCTCTGTTCTGAATGTCAGTACCTAACACTTTCGGTTGTAGCTGTGACTGCTTCCTCAACCCTACATCACCCTGACTCTTTTTGCCCCAGTGTTTCTCACATTTTAGTTTCATTGGAATCATGTGGAGGGTTTGTTAAAATACAGATTGCTGGGCCTCACTCTCAGATCTGATTCAGTGAGTCGGGCTGGGGCCTAAGAAATTGCATTTCTCTGAGGCTGGGGTCAGTTAATGCTATAGATCTGAAGGGTGTCCTCAAAGTATGTGACAATTCTTTGTAGCCTACAGCTTGAATTTTGATAGGCTCTGAACATGAGACAAAGGAGATAAAGGCTGAGGCCAGAGCAGAGTAGAAAGAAGGCCCATGAATAATGTAAGGACTCCCAAAGGGCAACATCCTCCCACGGACAATTATCACAAAGATTTCTTAACCACGAGACCACACTCACACCGTTCTGGGGCCAGAATTCATACTATCTGTGTGGCTTTAAGAAAAGATCTAGAAGATTAAAGTGGATTGGTAGTGAACCCAGCAGAAGAGAACATATCTTGTCTGAAAGAACTCGTTCTAAACCAAGGCCTCTAAGATTCAACACAGATAGAGTCCCAAGGACATGGGCTCATATTCTAACATAAATGAACATACATAGAAACAAGCTACCCTAAGGGAAAGTCAGCAGGTGTAACAAATTACATGAACTCTCAAAGATTGTAGATATTAGAATTACCATATTGACTACAAAGTTAGTAAGTCTACTGTGTAGAATAAGAGATTGAGAATATGATGTAGGATGAAAAGCATCAAAGTTGAACAGACAGATTTGAAAAAGAACCAAAGAGATAATCTATAAATTATACATATATAGGAATTAAAAAAAAATTAACAGATGGATTAAGCACATTAGACACAGTGAAAGGGAGGACTGAAATGGAAGACAGACCTGAAGAGAAAAGATTAAAAATACAAAAGAAAGGTTAAATGATATGGAGGGATAAAATAAAAGTGTCTACCATGTTGAATCAGAACCTCAGAAAAAATTAGATGGAGGATACATAATCAAAGATACGATGGCTGATACCTATCCAGAATTTGTGGAATATACAAATCCTCAGACACAGGAAACCAACAAGTACTAAACCAAATAAATAAAAAGAAATTCTTATTAGATACATGATAATGAAACTGCAGAATATGGAAGACTTTGGTGGAGGAGAAGGCAAGAAATTATAGAGAAAAGACAGATAACCCAGAGAGGAATGGGAAACAGGAGGCATATATTTTAGCTACAAAAGAAGAAGCCAGAAAATAGTATAATGATATCTTCAAAGTGATGAGAAAAAAATCCATCAACCTAGAATTCTATATTCAGGAAAACCATCGTTCAAGAATGGCAAAATAAAGGCATTCTCAAACCTTTGTAAGGCTGGACATTGATGTGGATGTTGGGAAACGAAGAAGTGGGAACACACAGACATTGTGGTAGCGGGTGGATGGCTGTGAACAGGCTTAAGGCTGTGATACTGGAGGTCAGGCCAAGGTTAATTGAGCTTTCCCAGGAGAAGGATGCCCTGGCTGACAAATGTAAGGGGAAAAAAATCTTAAATTTGCCATTTGGAATAGAATCCCATTCAAAATAAGTTACATAGTCATGACCAGTCTACCCGTTCATTGTGTAATGTACCATACCCAAGAGTTAGTGAAAACAGCTGCATTTCAGAATATATTTTTATCTCTGTAAATTTTCTTTCTGAAAAGACTTTCCTAAGCTTTGATGGAAAGCTGGCTTAAACTGTTAGTGTATCTATACACCCTCATTAGAGGGGCTATAATGAAATGAGATGGTAGTCTAGGATTGGTTAAAAATCTAATAATAGGGCAGTGTGCTTAGGCCAGGGCCAAAATCTTAAACATTTCAGTTGAGGTCACTATGATGAAAACAGTCTACATTTCAACTACTCTTTGGGTGTTTATTAAACTAACCACATACAATTATTTGTTCATTTGTGAATTATGGACACAATAAGATGCTCGTACGAGCTCTATCTCCTAGAGATGCTAGTAAAGAGTTAGATTGGTAGGAAATATGAAAATATTTGAGTTTATAGTTTGGTGTTTTGTTCTGCTTATTTTCTTTTTAATAGAAATCAAAGTCCATATTACCATGATCTGTTTAATAACTTACTGTGGGGGGACACTTAGAGACTGAGGTTGGATAGAATTCTCCCTTTATGTTTTATATTCTTATCAAAGTCAGAGCCAGAATTCTTTGGCTGATTCTATACTGAATAAAATATGCTTATGTATTCAGAATAAAAAACTGAAACCATTTTGTTGTTAACTAATGAAATCACCCTGTGACTGAATCAGAGCTGTTCAAAAATATCACAGGTTTGGAATTCATGATTTTGTGGCACAATGTACAGTTAATACTCTGAACATGAGGTCTTAGGGAAACTTTTAACTTGCTTGGCTTTGAGAACATTTCTGTGATCCTGGTCAGTTGGCTTAATGGGATTTGACAGTCCTTGAAATTGGTGTTTATTTAACTTGTCAGCTCTTCAATATAACTCACTGAAACTAACCATAAAAAGTATGGAACTCTAATTATCTGATTTAAAATAAGGATTTGTATTGATCTATTCTCCATGGCCAAATAGTTGGCAAGGGTAAAAGTGATTTACTTTTCTTGTTTTACATAGATTAAGCCCAGTATAATTATCTGGTTTAATTACTAATTCCTAATTGGCACAGGAAGTTAGAATATTCTCTTTCTTAGGAATATATCTGTTAGATACAAACAAATAGACTATCATAATCCTTAGTAGAATCACCATCACTATATGCTTAGGAAATCTCCCCTCTCCCATCTACTCTCACTTGCCAAACTTACACACACAACTTTCTTATGTGTGTTCTAGGAGTCGTTTCTCCTATCTGAATCCAGGGGACCAAATTCCTTTTGAACCAAGCAGGACGTAATAAGTAAAATACTTAAGAGCCTGTTCCTCTTGGTTTTGTTCTTATGTGTATGTAGGGAAAGCAGTCCGAAGAAGCATTCTTGAGTATTTGCATGATGAACCTTTTGCATAGAGTGCTTCCAGTGTATCAGATGTGCTTGCCTGTTCTGCATCAATGGCTGATACCATGTAAGCACAACTTAGATCGTGAATGTTAGTGAGCTTTCTTTTACAGCTTCCAAATTGCCATAAAATGAACTTTTGCAAGCATTCCGTCATTTTTAGGTGGGAAGATGATACTCAGATGTTTATAGACTATAATATTGAAAGAGATGATTCATCTGGTATAGAAATGTCAGTGCACAATTTTAAAATGAATGTTAAACAAAAGCACGTAATCTGGTGGGAAATCTAGCAAGATGTGTGTCCATTTAAAATGCTAAAATAGTGCTGTGTTAAATTTTTAAAATTTATTAAAAAAAAAAATTCAACTTCTGAGTGTTCCAAGGGAGGTGTTACTGTTACTAAGGGGCAAACCCTTCAAGTGGGAAAGAAACCTTAAATCACGGTCACAAAGTTTATATGTAATCCAGTCAGGCCATTTATGTCAGTTATGGCGTGTCAAGTATCACTTTAGAAATGCCTGGTACGTTTGTGCTCAGTGACTCATTATCCATCCTGGAAATTTCAATAACATGACACTGTATCGACATTGGACCGAGACCCCCCCAGCACTCTCTAATGTCGCTGCCCTAACTGGCCCCCATCCCACCCTTCTGATTGTTAGAAGTGAGGGCAGGGAGCTGTATGCACTGTGGAGGGAAGATTTTTGAAAACCAGACTAGTGTTGGCCTTTAGGAGAGGAAACTAATGTTTCTCTTCTTTCTCTTCTAGATTGTCCTTTTACTCGGGCCACTCTTCATTCTCCATGTACTGCATGCTGTTTGTAGCAGTAAGTACTTCGTGTCTATTGATGGTGGGTTATGTACTGCGTGTAACTCATGTGTTCAGCCTCCATGACCTCTCCTGTGCGGGCACCTCTGATGTTCCCAGTCAGCTGGACTCCATCTCTGGCTGCAGTTAATTAAGTTCAGAAGAGAATGGATGCCTATGCTTCTGCCGAAGCCAGTTATAATTGTTTGAAAGTATTTTTGTCTGTCATTTGGAGGTCGCAAACAGGCACATTTTATAGCAAGCTGCAAATTGGGGACCTTCATGATAACAGGGAGTCTGTACTTTTGAGGTAGGTTCTTTTCTCACAGTGGTAGAAACCGAAACAGATAATCAGCAAGTCTGCATGCCTGGTGCTAAGAATGAGCTGGAATATATTTTCTGAAGAGGTTTTCTGGAACATACGAGCAGCTTCAGTGTAATGACAGCAGGTCACTGATCTGAAATATGAGGCCAAGCTGCCTGCTGCTGCCTGATAACTTACCTAACTGGGAGCCCCCGTCCCATCTGCCCAGTGAGGGTGTGGCTTCTTTCCTCCTGGGGGCGCAGCTGGGTGCATTGTTGTTTTGATTATTAAATGTGAAGGCAGCTGTTGTTGCTTCTACTTGATCAGGTTTTATTTTCCTTCCATTTTCTGAAACACTTCCCAGACTGCTTTTCATGGGACTAGAAGAGTTTCAACTTCTGGGCGAGCCAGGTGCCGCTTCAGGAGCTTGTCACCTGTACGATTTCCAGGTCCAGCTCTCCCTGCTAACCCGTAGAGCAGCGTGACAGTTTGCACTTGCATTATACAAAATCCATAGTCAAGAGTTAGGAAAGATGTGCACCCACATTTTGCAGATCAAACTAGAGATGAGTGTGTATAGAGAGTAACTAATGGACGACCAGGCTTTAGGGCTCGTACAAGGCGTCTTTAAAGATCAATTTAATGGACCTTTATTTTTTATAATCTTTCTCTCTCTCTGTGTGTGTGTGTGTGTGTGTGTGTGTGTGTGTGTGTGTGTCTGTCCCTCTCTCTCTCTATAAAATTATTGGTTTGTCAGAAAGGTCATGACGTATTCTATGTTTTTCGTTGCAAAAAGGTGTCATGACTTTTCCGACAACCCAGTATCAAAACTTGGTGGGGAAAAAAGGGGAGATAAGATTTCTATACAGAGCAGCTGTAATTTTTGTCTTAATTTTTTTCATAAGTGGATTTGTATATAGCTGTGCTCTAAATTTGCTGTTTCCTGTTTTTCCCCCTTTGATTACATTAAGTGCTGGTATGAGTCTTTAATGCTTAGATTAAAAATCCATGATGTGTAATATTAAGAGTAGACTGCTAGTAGTTAATTTAGAGAGAATTTAAAGTCAGTTTTACCAGAACTTACTTGTATTTGAAAACCAAATTCTAAAGATTAAAAGAGCATGAAAATTGCAGATGTGTTATATAAAGTTCAAACCCACAACTTCAAAACTATTACAATAGAGCTAATTTTTGGCTTCGTCAACATGTCTGGAAATTGCAAGGTTTTCATTTCATGTTAACTAAATTTTGTGAGGAATCACCAGGGTACCAATTCAGCAGAATTTAGGGCTTCCTTTTTTGTTTTTGTTTTTAAGATTTTCTTGGGGAATTAGGGAAGGGAACAGTGTTGGGGAGTTGGGGAAGGGGAACATTGTGTTTTTCCAGGACCCATCAGCTCCAAATCAAGTTGTTGTCCTTTAATCTTAGTTGTGGAGGGTGCAGCTCAGCTCCAAGTTCAGTTGCCGCTTTCAATCTTTTGGGTTGTCGGAAAAGTCATGACGCATTTTTGCAACGAAAAACAAAAAAAAATACGTTATGACTTTTCGTACAACCCAGTAGTTACTGGGGGGTGGGGGCGCAGCTCACCATCCCATGCTGGAGTCAAACCAGCAACCTTGTTGCTAAGAGCATGCCCTCTAACCAACTGAGCCATCTGGCTGCCCGTCGGCAGCTCACCTGGCCCATGTGGGAATCGAACTGGCAACCCTGTTACTCAGAGCTTGTGCTCTGACGGGTGAGTCACCCAGCTGGCCCAGGGCTTCCTTTTTTAAAACACACACCCAATTACTGATAATGTGCCATGGGAAATGTGACTTATTTGAAGACACTATTCTAACATCCTCTGTTCGTTTATCTTGCTAGGAAAAATTAGCGTTCTTTCTAAAGGGAGCTAACGTATACTTTTCTTTCTAAATAGGGCTTGGGGACTGACTGGGGAAGAATGGGGCAGCCTGGCAATGGCTAGAGCCATTAATATCCTGAGAACTTTTCCCAAAGCACGAGTTTGTGACTACCCTGAGTGGCTTTTGAATGTTTGGACCTGTTTTGAATGCCCCCGGGCAGTCCTCACGGGGTTTGTTACTCACCTTTGTGTCTCTGTCTGTAAGTCCTCCTTTATGAGAGCGACCTAAGCATGAGGGTGGTACTGATGATGTCCTTTCCCAGTGCTTGACGTTTTGACTCTAATAACCCCCATGAAGTGGGAGAGGAGGGACAACTGCCACCTTTTACAGATGGGGAACTAGCTTCGGGAGGAGGCTGCTAAGGTCCGTAAGCTCTCTAGTGGTCTCTCGTTCATCAGGCTCGCTGGCTCTGTTGATTGCTTGATCTGAACAGTTATTTTGAAGGTCAGGTGATGCAGATCGCTGGAAGTAAAATGGTGACTGACTCATAACTTTGATCTACTGTTGTTAATTTTAAAGAATATTCTCAGCTATATCATATTTCATATAATTTTTCTGCTCTTCTTCTTTGCTCCCTGACCCTTCTCAAAACATCTGTATATGTTCGGTCAAATAGACGCTTTTACTGAGGCTGTTTTGCGAAGTACGAAATTAATGTACAAAGGACAAAATTAATGTCTAGAGGGCCTCAATCCAGGCCTGCTCTGTGGGCACAGGAGGCAAGTTAGGGATATGAGCAGGGAAAAAGGACCTCAACTGTAGTTTGGAAATTGGGTCAGTATGAGCCATTTAGACTTAAAGTTATAATGAAAATAAAAGCTCAGATAAATAGGTTTGTCATAGACCAACGCCTTTGTGGAGAGAGCAGGTCAGAGCAACTGCACTGCATTTCACTGACTTAAAGCAGTGGAAATATTTACTTGATGTGGATGTAGGCCCCAGCTTTTATTTCAGCCCTTGAACACACACGTCTCCTTGCTTGCCAGTTTTCACATTTATGTACAACACTTCACCACCACCACCGCCGCCAAAATTCCTTAGGCCATGACTCATCCTGTTTCCCTAGGCATCTTGGAATCATGGGTCAGTCCCAGATTTGGGTGGAGACGTAAAGTCATTTGAATTCTGAGGACAGCAATAGCCAAAACTTCCTTGTCAAGAATTCCTGATTCCCAGAAATTAATTTCCAGTTCAAAACGCCTCCTAAAGAAAATACCGTGATCATTGTTCTCCTCTGGCAGGCAGCCCAGCCCTCGCACTTACCAGTGCCAGGAGTCAGCACCCGTGAAAGCCACCTAGGCTGGTGGGAGCACAGGGCAGGGTTTCTTTGCACATAGCCAATTTATTGCATAGTGACTCTCCTTGAACTTGGTTCAATGCCAAGGATGCCAAATTTACTTGATTGTTTAGGAAAAGAGCCATGGTATGAGACTGTCCTTTTTTCCAACATAGTGAGGAATATACTAAAACACTTTTCCCAGCACCGTCTATTGAGACTGAAACCTCAGATTGTTTATATTGCTGCCTGTTATGAAATTCCTATGCACATTACTACAGTGGGGGCCCAAGTACCTCTCAGTGCCTGTGCTTCAGCTAGACTCCCTTCCCTGCCACAACGTGCCTGGTATCCGGGCCTCACCCCCTCCTGTGTTAGGACCATGCTGCCCACCTATCTCAGTCTTGGGCTCTTTGACACCACTTGGGATCCTCAAGCAATCCCTCATCTGGGATTGGCCATATACTACCTAGCACTGTGGATTATTTTACAAAGATGTTTCCCAAAATGTGGATTAATGCTGAGCATTGGGTAAATGAACTACTCATGGCATGAATCTGGCCTAATTCTAGGGTGGGAGTCAAGATCTAAATTTAGGAACTGTGAATCCTAAAGATGGTGAAATTGAAGCCTAGAGAAGACTAAGCTGAGGCCAGCTGTGCAGTGTTCTCCTGGCCAGATCTGTTATTGAATGCAGGTGGAACAGTACACCGGTTTCCCTTGCTTGGTCTTAGAAGCAGTGTTTCAAAATAAGTAGACCGAGGTATAATTTCTCTGTGTTGAGCATGCTGTTGTTAGTCTAGTTTAGGGGTTGGCAAATTTTTTCAGTAAAAGGTCAGATAATTAGGCTTTGTTAGGCCACATGCAGTCTTGGTTGCATTATTCTTGTTTTTAAAAACTAACCCTTTAAAAATGGGAAAACCATTCTTAGCTTGCAAGCTGACTCCATGACTCTAGTTTAAATGGAAAGAAAAAAAACAAAAAAAACCCTCTCATTATTTTCTAATAGTGTATTAAGAGACGGTGAGACAATAGCTTTTTTTTTTTTTTTAAGATTTTTATTGGGGAACTGGGGGGATGGGAACAGTGCTGGGGAATTGGGGGAAGGGGAACAGACAAGTTGCTGTCATTTTGTTCTTCAGTCTAGTTGTGGAGGACATCACTTCACTGGCCCAAGTTGGCACCATCATTGCGCTCTTCCTGGGCGAGGCACATTGGTCGCCGACTTCTGGACGGCCGCTCACTGCGGCTGCTGGCCGCTCACACTGGCTGCTGGCTACACGCGGTAGCCGATGGCAACCCACTGCCACAGGGGCTGCAGCCTACGCTGTCACAGGCGACTCACAGCAGCCCAGCTCCAGGTTGAGCTGTTGTTCACCATCTTAGCTGTAGAGGGTGCAGTGTCACTGGCCCTCACATGGGAACTGAACCGGAGCCCTCTGGTGTCCCAAGCCAGCTCTTAACCAATGCACCCCTCGGCTGGCCCGAGACAATAGCATTTTGCAGTTGTGTTACAAGGTTAGTCAACGAAAGGC